ATGAACTGGTACCCACATATGGTGGTAGCTTTACTCATTGTGCCACAATAAATAGGCACAGCTTATTGAGCATTTGGCACAGTGCCTGCCCCACTGTGATAAGGACTCCAGCATTTCCACAAACCATTCTTTAAGGTGGCTAATATAGATAGGAAAAATGAAGCTCAGTGAAGTTAAGTAAATTGCTGTCCTTACAGCGAGGCTTTAGGTTGAGCTCTTCCTGATTATAGCACCCATCACATACTGCTGAGTGTGTTTTACAAGGCACTGGATGGACAAAAATGAGTACAAGGTCCTTTCCCTGCCTTTAAGGAGCCCGTAATCTACAGGGAGAAAGCCTGGGCATTTAGTGCCAATAGCATAAGCATAGTAACCCCATATGCTTGTGTGCTGCATACTAAACATGATAGGAAGCTGGACCAAGGGGGGGGGGAGGCGGGAACTGTAAGAGAAATAAGCAGTAGGAAGCTTTAGTAGAGGGAGACAAAAAGAGCAGAGTAGGTACTGTGAGATAACCCAAACAGTATAGGATCGGGGAGAAATTCTAAGTTTGGTTTCTCATCTGTAATAGGATAATGCCAGTCTTAGGGAATTTTTTAGAGAATTAAACATGATACAGGTATTCTTGCCATGGTATCTACCGAAAAATAAGAAATGATATTTAGCCATTATTATATTTGGCATAATCTGACCTTCTGGAAAAGTGTAGAAGGAGGAGATGCTTTATTTCATTAAGCCAAAGGCTAAGTTCTATCAGTGCATTTTTTTTTTCAGCATGAGTAGTTTTATTTCCTTTGAACCAAATCATATATTTTTATAGAATAGCCATTTCACTTTATTAGTATAAGCATTTTAGTTAAAACCTCATTCCAGGACTGGTGCTTAAAATAGTGGGTTAAGCCCACTATGCAGTGCTAACATCCCCTATGACTGTAAGCTCAAGTCCTGGCTGTTCCATTTCTAATCCATTCCCTGCTAATGACCTGGGAAAGCAACAGACGATGGCCCAAGAGCTTGGACTCCCACACCTAAGCAGGAGACCCAAATTATGCTCCTGGCTTTGGCCTGGTCCAGCCCTGGCTATTGCAACCATTTGAGAAGTGAAACAGCAAATGAAAATTTCTCTCTGAATCTCAGTAACTGCTTTTCAAATTAATTTTAAAAAATCCTTCTTTGCCAAAGGGTATGTATATCCAGTGCAAGGCAGCATGAATTTCCCAACATCACCTGTTCCATCCTGTGTGTCTCACTAGTGTTGCACAATGGCCCGACTGACCCCAGTTCCAAGGGCTTGCTTGTTCTCCATGCATGCATTAACTCCATTGATGTTGTCTGCTCCCATTATAGCTAATGGCACTGACTCAGCCTTCCATGTGCTTGCTGCTAAGCCAGCCCCTACTGCTCTAGCACCCATAGCATTGCCTGTGCGTGAAACCAACCCTTGGGCTCATGCTCCTGACACTGCTAACAAGGAAGTTACAGCTGCACATTCGGGTAAGGTGGCTACACATGGTGGTGAGGATTCTGGGATCAGATAAGTGAACCTGGTTCTAGAATCAGCCAGTTACCTATGTGGGAACTACAGAAATTGTTTTAGGAAAAGTATATTTCCTCCTAGAGATAAACTGTTTTTGGAAAGGATGCTTTATAGTTAACTCAAGACTGGGGAATAGTTTTAGGAGAATAGAACCAAATCACCCAAACAGCTGTTTGGATCAAATTCAATAGATTTCTGGATCGAATTCCAAAGAACTCAACACTGACTGGGTTGGGTCACATGTGGACATGAAGAACACCCACAGGAACGGTTTCTCTGCTTCCTAGCTGCTGTAATGAGTACTGGTTTGTATACCAAAAACTTTGAAAAGAGCAATAAAGCAGGTCACCAGAAAGCGAGGCTCTGGAAGCCAGACAGGTCCCAGCAATATACGGCCAAGTCGCCGGTTTTCTTTTTGCCTTATTCAAGCAAGGATGAACCACCTCAAACCTACAGGCCCTGTGCCCGTTATTGCACTGTGGAGGACCATGGCATCAGGGAGGGGTTTTTGCCACTAGTCAGCTGCCCCAGCTGGCAGGATAAACTGGAACAGTATTTAGACACCTCCTCGGTGTGGCTAACCAAGGGTCATGCTATGGTGGGTTCTAGTTGTTCTACCACAAAAATCTTCTTTGCCTATCATATATTTTCCCCATGTCTGCCAAAAACACCATTAGGAACATTACCATTAGGAAGACTTGTTCCAGATGTTAGGTTCAGATACCTCTTAATTCTGATGGTCTGTTTTCATCTTGTTTCCAGGAACCGAGTGGGGTCAGTCTTCTGGTGCTGCTTCTCCAGGTCTTTTGCAGGCTGGTCACAGACGCACACCCTCGGAAGCTGATCGCTGGTTGGAAGAGGTGTCTAAGAGCGTCCGGGCCCAGCAGCCCCAGGCCCCAGCTGCCCCTCTGCAGCCAGTTCTCCAGCATCCTCCACCCGCTGCCATGTCCCAACCAGCACCACCTTTCCAAGGGAATGCATTCCTTACCTCTCAGCCCGTGCCAATGGGTGTGGTCCCACCCCTGCAGCCAGCCTTTGTCCCTGCCCAGTCCTATCCTGTGACCAACGGGATGTCCTATCCAGCCCCCAATGTGCCTGTGGTGGGCATGACTCCCTCTCAGATGGTAGCCAACATGTTCGGCACTGCAGGCCATCCTCAGGTGGTGCACCCCCATCAGTCACCCAGCCTGGTCAAACAGCACACATTCCCCCAGTATGAGACAGGCAGTGCCACTGCCAGTCCCTTCCTTAAGCCCCCTGCTCAGCACCTCAACGGCTCTGCAGCGTTCAACGGCATAGATGACGGCAGGCTGGCTTCAGGAGACAAGCACACCGAGGGTCCTGCAGGCACCTGCCCCGTGGATCCTTTCGAAGCCCAGTGGGCTGCATTAGAGAGCAAGTCCAAGCAGCGTACTAACCCTTCCCCTACCAACCCTTTCTCCAGTGACTTACAGAAGACGTTTGAAATTGAACTATAAGCAACCTGTGGTTTATGGATCTTGTTTGTACTTAGGCAAGCGCAGGGGATAGAAGATCAGTGAGCAAGGGGGATTCTGTCTTCCTGATCAGGACACTTCACTAATCTCAGAGGTCCCCAGGAACAAGTCTAGGCACAGTGGAACGTGAGGGGTGGTTTGGGGAGAAGCAGGGAAACCATTCCTAGATGAAGCCTGTCATGGAAGTGGGCTGAAGAAACCAAGGAAGTGTCTGCTGGCCCCTCCTTTCCCTCAGGTCCTTGCAGACGCCTGGTGGCAGGGAGACGGAAGTACCAGAGTAGACTCGTCTTCAAAGCACATTTTCTGGGCTCTGAAACACCCTGGGAAGAAAAAGTCTCCCCTTGTTTTTCAGGCCATCACCTGCCTCCTCTCAGTACTGACCTGTTCTAGATACGGGAACAGAGCAGTCTGTGCTGCAGCTGGGAGAGGCCAGCCCCAGGCTGTCCTGCCGCTTCTGGAAGGCCACGTCAGCCACGGCCCCACAGAGCCAGAGGGTGAGGAAAAGTCACACTTCCATTTTGAGTAACAAATATTATAAATATATATATATATCAAAAAGCCAAAATCTTTATTTTTATGCATTTAGAATATTTTAAATAGTTCTCAATATTAAAACTTGTATGAGTTGTAAGTAATCTTGCCAAAAGTAAAAGGGTTAGTTGTAAGAAACTGTATATAAGATTGATTTATCATTGATGCCTATTGAGTGAAAAACAAAGGCAGACTGGAGTTAGATGGCTCCCTAGCTTGCTTGAGATCTCACTGTAACTGGCACATTGCAACAACAATCATGCTTATGACCAATACGTCACTAGGTTGTAGTTTTAAAGACAAGGAAACAGCAGTATTGTCCTGGTTCTAAACCTATGATGAAAATCTATCATTATTTTAATGGAATCTAAATATGCTCTGTAGAGGATATTATCTTTTATATATTGCTGCAGTTTCTTTATGTTAGTCCTTCAACACTAAGGTGACAGTGACATCACGTCCACAGAAGGGAATGCAGGTTGCTGCACTGGTTTGTAACGTGGGTCCTGGTGGGTTTTGTTTTGTTCTTTACATTTATTTCCCTCCCGGACCCCCGCAATTTTTGTGGGGATGGGAATTCTGATCTCATTAGCTTTGTGTGTGTCTGCCAACCCCCCTTTTAGTGAGAACATCCCATTGCCAGTTGTAGCCACTTGACCTCGGTTAACAAAATGAAATCCCACTCATTTTTACTTTTGAACGTTGGCCTTACAATCAAATGTAAGTTATATATATATATACATACATATATATATATTTGTACTGATGAGAATTTATAATCTGCTTTAACAAAAATAAATGTTCGTGGTAGAAGCTCTTGCCCATAAAGGGCTGGCGTTTCCCCTTTTGTTTTGTTTGTAAGTGTATTTTCTTTTAATCTCTATCAAAGTTGCTACAGATCCCTAGCATAGGAAGTCCTGTATTCGCCTTAGTATATCATTAACATTTGCAAGTCCATTCCTACTTTAGGTTGGTTGGTCCTGAGTGCCTCTCAGGGGAAATTCTGGTTTCATCAAACCAAGGTGTCCAGGAAAATAGCCTTTTTTCCCAGTTCCTATAACAAATGTTCTTTGGTTTAATATATTTCTTTTTAACAGAAAAGACCTCTCCCCTGACCAGAAGTAGGCCAAAGTAAATCCTGTGGTGTCTGCCAAGTCAAAGGTCTGGTCCTCTCCAGAGTTAGCTTTGTGTGCAGGCACTCCGCTGCGGAGGAACCCAGCAGCCCGAGCCTTCTGTTTGCACGTTGAAGAACTAGACACACTAAGCAAGGTCTCCAGCTGAAACCACTTCCCTTCGATAGCTCATCCTGCTAGTGCTTTTTCTAACAAGGGTCTGATGGTTCTCTGCCAGCACCTGCTTTGCTTCACAGATTCCTACCTCAGGACGAGTCTCCTTGTAACTGTACAGGACAGGCTGGGCAGCTCTGTACAGGCGTCAAATGACCCACCACGGGAGCTTTCAGGGGCCAGCTTCCGCAGGGACAGCTCTCTCACCCCAGGGCTCTGCTCCGAGATCTCCACGTATTCCACTTTGCTGGATAGGGTTCAGGCTGGCTGCTGCCCCACCCGAAGACAGAGGAGACTAGAGCATCAGCCATCGTCCCAGGTGAGACTTCGTTCTAGCACACAATACAAGGTACTTCGAAAAGTTCATGGAACATGGAATTTAAAAGTAGTTTATTTTGGTGCCCAAAAAACCTGAAGTCCATGCATACTTTTTCATGATATATACTTTCCATTAACTTTTTGAAGACCCCCTCATACTTCCTTGACCTAGGAGTTGGCATTCCCCTTTAAGACAAATGTTAACTTTGAGTTCATTTCATACTTCCCTGAAATCAACTTACTTTAAAGCACAGTGAGCCAATCCTGCGTATCAGCTGACATCACTAATTCAAGACTTTTCTGGAGTGACTAGAAGCTTTTTGAACATCATGGTGACACTCAAAAAGTTTCAGATTTCAGAGGTTTTGAATTAGAGGTGCTCAACTGGCAGTTTATGCAAATATTCAAAAAATCCAAGAAATTTAAAAATCTGAAAACGTTGTGCTCCCAGGCAGTTCAAGCTAAGAGGATGCCCAGCCTGTAACAGACAGTGGGAAGGGACATTGCAAAATGGATGTTCCCCTTTTCCAGATTCCTCTTCAACACCTGAGCAGCCTGTGCTGCTGTGGGAGATGGACGTGCCGCTGTGGCCACACTCCACGTGGGCAGACAACGGCTCGCTTGGCCAGCCGGAGTGCGTTTTCCCTCCTCCCCAGTCCTAAGAACTGCTGTGGCACCAGGGCTAAAGGGAGTGCGCCTTCATCCCTGCTGCCAGATGGGCTGAGTGTGGGGCTGGTACCGTGAACAGCTGGCACAGCAGAAGCTGGAGTAGTACTCGTTGCCACAGAGCTGGGCCTTCAGGATCAGATCACAGTTGGCCAGCTCCGGCTGGTCGATGCACTCCTTGCCGGGGTCCAAGGGCTGGGCGGCAGTGGCTACAGAACACAGGAGACAGAGGTGAGGAAAGTGCACGTTAAGGACTGTCACCTGCCACTTCTTCAGAGGAATGCAGCACTGGGACCACCACAAACCAGGGCTGCTGTGTAACCGCTGACACCTAAGTGTACACGCATGGTGAGGGGTTTGCGATTTCCACCCATTCTTTGGCCTCACTTTGGCAACGTGTGATCCTTCCTACTGATTCCTGGCCTCAGCCCAGCACGCAGTCCCTCCCAGACCCCGCAAAGACTTATTGACCAGATGGATGATGTCACATCTGAAGTCGGCCTTTACTCCTGAGACCTGAAGAACTAAGCAACACTGCATTGGCCTGTGGGCTGAGAGGAAGGGCAAGGCAGAACCTGCTGTGAGTAACATTTTGAGTTAGCAAGACCATGTGGTCTTCTTTTTTTACTGCTGTTTTAAAAAAAAATTTGTTTTTTTTGCAATCTCAGAAGTTTTGTGCTTTTGAAATCCCCAGCAGTTCTTAATCACCCCGTTCCCCAGAGAAGCCGATACATATTAGCCAAAGTGTGGTAACTGAGGCTGCAGCCCTACTGTAAACTCTTACAAGTGGCCTGTTAGAACTCCCTGTCAGTCTCATCCTGGTGTTTCCTCAGGCCTCACGGCCTTATCACACTGCACTCCTCGTGGCTTCCTGAAGTGGCTTTGAAGGCCCCAGCAGCAGCACCTTCCCCTAGAGTCAGACCTCATGTTCATCCTCTGCCCCTCCCCCCCCGCCCGTTCCCTCCCAAAGTGCCGCCATAGCAGACACAAGCAGTGAACAGCCTTAGGGAAGGTATGGTGTCAGTATAACCAGAGCACCACCTATGTGCATTTAGATAAAGGGCAAAGGCACTTAATGCCTGTTGTCACTATAACCCTACTGTGTCGGGCCAACTTTCTGGGAGCTGCTGCAGCCCCTGAGCATCACAGCAAGCGATCAGTGCCTTAGCTGTGCACAGAGCTGGGGAGCCAGTACCCAGCATAAGCATGTTTTCCTCCTCCTCAACAGCAAAACTACTCCGTGCCCTCCTCCATGCCATGCAGGGTACACCTTTTCCACACCATAGGAAGGCCCCTCTCACCTGGGGTGAGCACCTTCACCTCGGTGCTGCGGCTGACAGCCTGGCTCCCGCGGTAAGCGCTGCATGTGTAGGAGCCCTCATCCCTGGACTGTGAGTTGTGGATCAGCAGCGTGCCGTCTGGGGACTGGTGGACACGGTGGCCATCGGCCTGTACCGGCACCCCGTTTCTAGAGGGGAGAAGACAGAAGCAAATGAGAACATCTACAAGAACCAACAGCCCCTCCCAAAGGAGACACGGCACAAGAATGCCAAGGTCACAGTAACGCCAGGAGGGTGAGTTTTGACAAGCACAGCACACCGAGTCATTGTCGAAGTTTGCTGGCTCTTCATCTTCACAAAGGTACATATCCTGTGTGGGATGAAGCCACTGAAGGCCCAAGCACTCCCTGCCTCCTGGGAAGTGGGGAGCCAGCTAGCCAGAGTGGTTTTCTGGAACCAAGGGAGTGTTAGAGAGAGTGCATTACTCCCCAACAGTTCTAGGCTGGGGCCTGAAATGAGAAGCCAGGGGCTCAATCCAGGTCTCCCGAGTGAGTGGCAAGGCCCAAATCCTGGAACCGTCACCTGCCGCTCCCAGAACGCGCATTCGTAGGAACAGAGCCAGCACTCGTCCATCCATGTCAGAATGTGTCTCCACCCACATAACCACTAGGCCAAATTCCTGCCCCGGGAGGGAGCCTTCAAGGCTCCCCTCCCCCAGAGTCCAGCGATTGAGTCCAGGAGAATTGCACTGTCCAGAGAAATGTATTGTTAGAATGGGGAGGCTGGGGAGAGAGCTTGCAATTGATGCACAGATGCCCCAGCTGCAGGGTGGAGGACAGTCTCCCACAACCAAACCTGAGCCTCCCCAAAGTACCAGTAGTGCTAAGGTTACGAAACACTGTGTTGGCTGGGTGTTTAGCCAGCATCTCGGCACTCAGGGCTTTCATAGCTGGCTTCAGCTCCAAACGCCCAGTCTCTGCTAATGCAGCCTCAGGGGCAGCTCTGATGGCCCAGGTGACCGGTTCCTGCCACCCTAGGTAGGAAACCTTGCTCCAGCCCTAACCACTGCAGGCCTCTGGAGAACGAGTGTGTCTGCTGGCTCATCAAACATTTCAACAAATAAAACTCCAGTGCAGCAGCACCCATGGAAAAGCCAGCAGTCAGCTTCATTGTTTAGGAAGCGGGGACTGCAGGCCCTATCATGGTCACCAGGCCAAGAGGCAGAGGACAGAGACATCCCCAGCCCAGGTGACCACACAGACCTGGGAGCTTGTGAGGGTCCGAGGGTAGGAATTGCCGCAAAGAGAGCTTTACCTGGACCACCTGATGTTCACCCCTTCTCCTGCCACGGCACACTGCAGCCTGGCTGTGTCACCCTCTGGCACTGTGACAGCAGGGGGCAGCTTGGTAATGGTCAGTTCCCCTGGGCAGAAGAAGCTCTGTCAGCTGCTATATACATCGTGCCGTCCAGGACCTCTTGTGTGACATCAAAGAACTGCCACCTTACCTTCAACTCTGAGCTGAACCCACCGCTGATCTCGGTCCTGCCCATTGAAAGCAACGCACGCGTAGAAGCCGCCATCTTCCACAGCCACCTGGTTGATGACCAGGGAGCCATCGGGCAGCAACTGGTGTCTGGGAAGCAAACAGTCAGTTCAGGGGAGGATGAGGGAGTCAGAGGGCAGGGCAAGAGCGTCTTCCCATCCCCAATGAGGCTGAGTACAACTGCTCAGTGGGGTCAGGCCAGAGGGCTGGTGGGCCTTCAGCTGGCCAACGGCCAGCAGCCTAACACTAAATCATTTCCAACTTTCTCATAAAATTGTTCTGACTTTTTTTGTTCTTGCTATGCTCATTTAGTTCTACAACTTAGGGGCCCTGTGATGTTCAGTTTCTGTGAGTAGTATGGCTGGGGGAAGGGATCTAGGGCAAGCCCCCAGATCAAAATGGAGCTGCATTCTGGGTCACCTGTCAGCATGCCATGAGCGATACCGACACGTGGGCCAGCCTCTAATTTCTTAACACTCGGGAAAGGCCCAGAACCCAAATGTGCCCCTGTCCAAGGGCTTGGTGCCCAGCAGCCTCACTCAGGACCGACAGTGGAGGGAAGGAGAGGAGTTGAGGAAACCTCGGGGAGGACAGGAGCTGTCCGTCTCGGTGCCATTCGATGGTTGGGGGCGGGAAGCCTTCCGCCCGGCAGCTCAGCCGTGCCTGCTGCCCCACGCTGACCTCCACCGTGCCAGGCTGGTTCTGGTCCAGACGGAGCCTGCAGAACAAGCCATGCTTAGCTGTTTCTTCCCTCTGCAGGGAGCTGCCTGAGCCCTTCTCTCACCTGCCAGATTCACCTTCCTAAAATCACCCCTTGGTTCTGGACACCACAGATAAATGCTTGGCCAGGGGCAAGGGACTGTAAAAGCCACTGCCAGCTTCCTCCTTCAGCAGGTCACCACTGTGTCTCTCTCCTCCCCAATCTGCTGTGCACACCTGCCAAGACAGCCCTCCTGCCCTCTGTAAAACCCCATCCCTCCAAGCTCCCCCAGACCAGCCCTGGGTGCTTGTCCCTTCTCTGTTCCTACATGCTGGGCCTGCACACCTGCTAGGGTGCCCTTCCTTCTCAAAAGGACCCAGCTCAGGAAATCATCAGCAAAGGGACCACACCTCCCGAGCTTCGGGCAATCCCCATGGACTCAGGCTGCTGTGCTGTTACCTGGTTGCAGGCTGTGGGTGGGAGGAGGGGACAGTCCTCTGACCACTAGCATCCCCTCCCAGGCCGGAGTTCGGAGACCTGTGGCCCTGGGCTGGGTCCCGGGCCTGAGGAAAGCGCCCAGCCTCAGCCTCTGCTGGCATGGTCACATCACCCCCTAATAGGAGGTCGGAAGAAACACAAGGTGAGGTGTGGGGAGGGGACACCTGGGGGTCCCCAGACCCCTCACTGGCCTTGTCATCTGGTCCCTCCTGCCCCAGGGCCTGTGGGCGGCCGTTGTAGATGGAGTGAGGACAGACCTGTGACATGCAGCTGGATCTCCTGGGAGGCCTGGTCTGGCCGGGTGCCACCACAGCTGTAGCTGCCAGCGTCCTCGAGCCGCAGTGGGCTGATGACCAGAGAGCCATCGGGCTGCAGCTGATGCCTGAATGGGAGGGGGGAACATGGCCCTGGTCTCCCACAGGTGACACCAAATCCATTTATCTCCACCCATCACCCCGTCCCCATGCACTCCTGGGCTCAGTCCTGCAGTCACCCCAGGGGAGGACCTACCCACCCCAGCCAAAGGGGAAGGGACTAACCCTTACACACACCTGCCAGAGGAGATGGGCCGGCCATCTTTCTGCCACACAGCCTGGGGCACTGCAGAGGGATCCCCTCGGCAAAAGAGCTGTACTGCCTGCCCCGGGGATGCCTGCACCAGGAAGGGCTGGGAGCCTGCCAAGCTGACCCCAGGGAGGTGAGGAGTGAGGAGCTGCCACAGCAGAGGGGCACTCCCTGACCCTACAAGGGAGCGCTTGGGCCCTGCTACGTCAAAGGCACTGGCAGAGCCAAGCTCCAGAAGCACAAAGCATGGGAGATGCCCCCTTGTTGGCCTCATGCCCACATGCCCTGGCACTGTCACCTCGGCCCACCCCTGCAAGCCGGAGATGTGGACAAAGTGGGGAGGGTGCTGCCAGTGGAGGTGGGGGGAGTTCTAAATGACCTACTCTACTGCAGGGGTGTGGAGTTTGGGTTCTTAGTCTTCCCAAAACCCATTGTCACCACCACCGAATCCCAAGAGAATGACAAATGGGAGCCCATCCCAAGCCTCAACAGGAGGCAATGTGACTTGCCAGAGTTCATGAAGCCAGGAAGCTTGTCCAGTGAGGCAGTCATGGCAAACCCCACCCAAGTGTTGGGAGCCCCATCTGTCCCCCAAACATCCACAGGCATTAGTCGAGTGGGCTGTCTTTGGGGGCCTCAGTGTCCCTGTCTATGGAATGTGCCAACAAGGCCCACATGGAGTATCTGGAGGATTAGAAGTCAAACAGGGAGAGGAAAGGAGGAGGGAAGATGGGCAGCAGGGTCAGGTGACTGCAGTGGGCTCAGCCCTGGCATGGGCAGCCAGAAAGGTGGGCTCACCTGTGAGAGGGGCCAAAGGAGGGTGGCCCTGATGGTCTGGCATCTCTGCCTGGTCCGAGCACCAGGCCCCAGAGCTGTTCTCCAAAGGCCTGGCCAGGAAGGGCCTCGCCAGGGCCAAGCCCCTGGTCCTGTCGCCAGAGTCCCCCAGAAGGCAAGGGCTTTGCTGGCACCATGCCCCCCAGCCTCTGCTGGCTGGGGTCCCGCTGCTCTCCAGGGCCACCGCTGCCACCATGTGCATGGGTGCCCTGGCCAGAGGCCCCCGACTCTGGAAGGCGGGGCTCATGATGGGGTCCCCGGCAGGTGCTCATGCACTCCTGCTCCGAGGCAAAGTTATTGGCATTGCCATGACAACCACCATACCAGAAGCGGTTGCACCGGCCCACGGAGGCCACGAAGTACCAGCGGGCTGCCCAGTCTGTGCATGAGCCGTGGGCGCTGGGCAGCAGGCACTGCACAGGGTAGGCTGGGGGACAGGGTAGGATACATGTCACCCAGCTGCCCAGGAGCAAACAAAGCCTCCCCTCACCTCTGCCTGCTCAGCCCCACAGCCAGGCCTACCTGCACCCCTCTGTGCCAGGCTCTGGGGACACAGGCCTTTCTACCACTGTCTGTCCACTGCCCAGCCCTGCCCTGTCTGGGGGCCAGAGTAGCTTCCATCCACAGAGCTGGAGCCCTCCAACAGCTCAGAGTTCCCCCCCTCCCCCGCCCACCCGGCTGCCCGTTCGACACAGAGCAGCCCTCAGGCCCAGGCCTGAACCCAGCCCTGAAACCACCCCCAGAACTCTGGGACCTGCAGAGATGCCTAGCAGGGGCCTGTGCTCACCCCCTGAACCCCTCAAGGCATGCCCCACTGCCCTCCCAATCCCCACAAGCAGCCAAAGGCCTCATGTGCAAACTACCCAATAGCAGATCACTCCAGGTATCAGGTCCGGCACCCAGCAGGTGCTAGACAGCCATGAGTGGGAATAACCACTAGCCACTAGCCAAGTCCCTGGGCCTGGACAGGGTCAATGGGATGAGCACCCCCCCACGGAAGGAGGGTGCAGCACAGAGATGCACTCACCATAGCCGGGCTGGCCCACGCAGCCTTCCCCCAGGGGGCCTGCTGCAGAGGCCACATTGTCATAGCAACAGCCAAACTGGGAACCCCGACACTCCGCAGGCTCACTCTGCTGGGCCTGGGGCCAGTGGGCGTTGTGACCCTGGGGAGGAAGCCCAAAGTCAGAAGTAGGGAATACAGAGGTGAGAGTACAGAACTGTGAGCCCGAGGGGCCCAGCCCCAGGGGAGACCAGATGTCAGGAGCACCCTGGGTGCCCCAGGCCAGCCCGTTGTAGAGGCCCACTCCCTAGGAGAGGACAGTCCAGGCTCACAGGTTCACAGCGCCTGTTGACAATAACACTGAGCAGGCTCAGGGGTCACGCAAGCTACTCACCGTGGAAGCCACTGCTCTGGATCCTGGTCTGTTCACACGGCTGTCCCCACTGTAAGACCTCACACAGCCTGCCTGCTGGGGTCCCTGAGCCATGGACACCCCATCAGGGCAGCAGCCATACCTAGGAAGACAAGACCCAGCCCACACTCCCTCAGTACCAGTACGCAGGGTGAGGCCCCCGGGCAGGTCAGGGTATACTGGGTGCTCTGGGTACCCCAGACCCAACCACATTCAGCAGGTACCCCGTGCCTGACAGATCCTCAACTCCACATCCCACCACCAAACCAAGAAAGTGCTCTGGCAGAGCCCGTCCAAGAACCAGGCACCTCCAAGAACCCCAGCACCTCCTGAGGACCTGCAACCTACTCCATGCTTGTGGGAATTCAACTGGGAAGTGGCCAGCTGCTGTCCCCTATCCTAAGCCAAGATCAGAGAAGCCAAGTAACTGTTCCACCCCCGCCCCCGGTCAGCACGCAGCTGAGCCTGGCCTTATATAAGCTGCTGGCCCCAAAGGTTGGGGAATCCCAGAGTCCAAGGGAACAGGTACATTCAGGGCAGGCACTAGCAGGAGGACACCCACAGCAGGATGAGGAGTTGCTGTGGGATGATCAGCCCCTCTCTGCTGGGGCTGGACTAGGGCTGTTAGGAAAACCACCAGGATCTGGTCAGCCGCTGTCCAGCCTTTAGCCAGGTTCTGAGCCTGAGCCAGGTCGGGGTGGGGGGCTACCTTCTCAGAGCCCCCCGCCCCTGCCACATCTCAATAGCAGCTTGTGCAGACCAGGCAGCAAGCTCAGCCGAAGGCAGCAGCGTCTTCAGGGAGCAACATCAGGGCATTCCCCCAGGGGGGAGCCCACCTGTCCCCTCTGCCCACTCATACCTGCTCTGCTGACATGAGGCCCTGGGTCCTGGGCAGCCCTGCCACTGTGGCCCAAGCGACGTGGTGTAGCCATCAGGGCAGCACCCATGGGGGCTGTGTCTGCAATCATGGGGCCCTGGGCCAGACCTCAGGGGCGGCTGTAGATGGGGTGGCTGTGTGCCAGAGTTTGGACCAGGCTCTGGCTGCTGATGCCCCAAGTCAGGCCTGCGATTGTGCCAGGCTGTTGAGGACTCCCGGGCAGCCCATCGTTGGCTCCTGGAGTCTGGACAGGAGGGGACGCCAAAGCTGTGCTCACTGCCCACTAGGCTCCATTTGCTCCATACCCTCCCAGCAGCCCCTCTGCCACACCCCCACCCTTGACCTCCACACTGAAGGCGCCCCGGGCAGGGAAAAGGCTGCCACACTGGGATCCTCACCTGGCCGATCCACAGGTGGCCTGGGCTCACTGGGGCTGGGGTGGCTGTGGGGATCCTGCACACTGGGGACCCCTGTAGGACGGTGGGTACAGGCAGAAGGTGAGCCCAGGGCAGGGCAGGGCCTGGGACGCCGCCTGCCCAAGGCGCCTGGATTGCCAAGAATGTCTAGAGAAAAAGAGGCCAGGACCCCGACTCCCTGAGCCCATAACAAGGGTCACCCACTTTTCAGGATGAAGAGACAAGCAGCCTAATCTGCAAATGACAAAGAACTTGAGTGTTTCTCAAAGGAGACACACAAGGCCATCCAGCACACATCCCAAACATGGGAGCTACAAAACAGCACCCTCACCGACGCGGTGGCTCAGGGCAGCTCAGGGCTGCTCAGGGCTGCTCAGGGCTGGGGCTGACTCCTCCGGGCTGCTGGGGCTAGCTCAGGGTGGCTCAGGCCAGCTTGGGCTAGCTCAGGGTGGCTCGGGGCAGCTCAGAACTAGCCTGGGGCTGACTCCAGGCTGCTGGGGCTAGCTCAGGGTGGCCTGGGGTAGCTTGGGATAGGTCAGGCCAGCTCAAGGAGGCTCAGGGCCCAGCGGCTGGGAGGCATTCTCTCCTCCAACCTGGCGGTGGTACCTATCTCACTCCACTCCCAGTGCTAGCTTTCTGCTGCTGCGCCCCCACACAGGGGCAAGGGCTTCGGGACTAGTGTGTTGACCCGTTCACCAGGGAGCGAGCCAACAAGTGGGAGCTTGCTGTCTGCATATCTCAGCTCTGAAATCCAAAGGAAGGAAGAAAGGGAGGGAAAGAAAGAAAAAGAGAATTAACTGGGATCAGCACTGTAGCCTAACTGGGTAAGCCACCAAATACAGCACCAGCATCCCATATGGGCACCAGTTCAAGTCCCAACCGCTCCCTTTCGAATCCACCTCCCTGAGAAAGCAGCACAGGATGGTCCAACCCCTGGCCCTGCACCGTGTGGAGCCCAGTAAGCAGCTCCTGGCTCCAGCCATTGTGGCCATCTGGGGAGTGAACCGGCAGGTGAAAGTTCTCTAACTCTGCCATTCAAATTAGAAAAAAGAAAGAAAGAAAAACACTTTAACAGATGAACTGTACAGGATATGCATTTCACAACTCCATAAAACTAACTCATAGGAAACAAATGGATTAATGAAGGGTTACAAAAACCAACAAAAAAACAGATACAGTGAAAGACAAACTGCAGATTTTAATGGTGGCTTGTGACTGATCACCATAAACTTTCAATCTGTCTTAAGATTTTTTACCAACTTGGCCTCCTCCTCGTTAAATGTACTAGAACTCACCAGAATGGGCGACTGCCCTGACCGGCTCCGGCTCTGCAGGCTAACCCCTCTGCCTTCCAGCACTGGCATCCCATAATTTTTTTTTAAGTGACTACTATGGTATGTAACATTTATTAAACAGTTTCAACAAAATAACTAAAAAGATTTAGCACAAAATGTTGGAGAAACATGCAAAAGGTTAGATAGGTAAAATTGAGAAAAATGTAACACTATATGAAAGAAAATTTGAAGGCTCCAACCGCATCCTCAAATGCTCAGAGTGATCAATTTAAAATAATCTTCTATTTATTTAAAAAGCAGAGCAACAGAGAAAAAGAGAGGGAGAGAGACCTCTGGCCTTGGCTCCAGGGGTTCACTCCCCAAATGCCTGCAACAGCCAGAGCAGGGCCGGCCTCTGCTGAGAGCTCCGATTCCAGGCAGGCCGGCCACGGGGTGGCGAGCCCCAAGCACCTGGCCATGGTTCACTACCTCCTGAGCTCTTAGTGAGAAGGCTGACCAGAAGCTGCAGAGCCAGGGCTCCACCCTAGGACACAGACGTCAGAAGCTTAGCCCACTATACTAGCACAGCCTGCCCCCCCCAACCCCCTAGCCACACTCAATGTGGTATAGATGTTGAGGGCAGTGTTGGACACAACAGTTATGCCACTGCCCAAGACTCCGCCTCCCACAGTGGAGTGCCTAAGTTTGAGTCACAGTCCTGTCCCTGCCTCATCTTCCTGCTGAGGCAGGTGCCGCAGGTGGCAGGGAACAGCCATGGATCAGAGTCCTCCCACCCCACCCCACTGGGAGACCCAGACTGAGCTCCGAGCTCCCAGCTTCCATCTGGTCCAGCCCTAGCTTCCGCAGGCACTTGAGGTGTGAATCAGTCAGCAAATGAAAAGATCTGTCTCTCTCTGCTTCCAAAAATAAACTTAAAAATCTCTTAAAGAAACCCAAGTAAAGCTGCTGCTTGCCACATCTGCCCCCTTTACTGGCGCTGGTTAGCGTCTCAGCTGCTGCATTCCCAGCCTGGCTCTCTATTCACACTCCTGGGAAAGCAGTGGAGGTTGGTCCAAGTACTTGGGCCACTGCACCCACACGGGAGACCCGAAAGCGGCTCCTGGCTTCGGCCTGGTCCAGGGCTGGCCGTAGCAGCTATGTGGAGAGGGAACCAGAGGATCAAAGATTCTTTTGCTCTAACTCATTCAAATCTTTTCTTAAAATTTGGGGGTCTGCACTTGAGCAAGAACCTCAGAGCATACCCTACATCTGGGACCTGGGGAGGGTGGGAAATTGGGTAGGCCTTCTCCCTTTATACCCCCCTTTAAACATGAAGGAAACAATATGGAAAAAATACTAGTCTTATCCACTTTCCTGTAGCCTTTGAATCTTGTTACCCTAATTAACTATGTAAAGATTGTCTAAATAAATAAATAAAATTTGGGGGTCTGAGCTTGCCACGATGGCTCAACTGGCTAATCCTCTGGCCTGCAAACACTGGCTTGCAGCATATGGGTGCTGGTTCATGTCCTGGCTGCTCCACTTCCATCCAGTTCCCTGCTTGTGGCCTGGGAGAGCAGCAGAGGACGGCCCAAAGCTTTGGGACTCCACACCCATATAGGAGACCAGGACGAAGCTTCTGGTTCCGGGCTTCCAATCAGTCCAGTTCCGGCCACTGTAGCCATCTGGCCAGAGAACCAGCAGATGGAAGATCTGTCTCTAACTCTGTCAGGGTGGGGCCAGGTAAAGCCAGGAGCCCCATCCAGTTCACCCAGTGGACGACAAGGACACTAGCTGTGGAGTCATCACGGCCATCTCCAGGAGGGTATGTGCCCAGGAGGCCACACCCACCCCCAGGTGCCTGTCGGGGAGGGCAGCCCCTGCCTCCCACAGCCACCGCAGCATTTTACAGGCAGAATTTAAAGCACGAACAGGCTGGGGAGCCCCAGTGGCCCTCCCTTACTCCTATGCTTCCGATGGCTGCCCCGGCATTATCAGACACTGTGAAGTCCAGGGTAGCTGACCAACCCTGACAGGACCAGGCAGCATCTTACCAGCCCTGGAACCGCGGGCTCAGGGCCAGCTCTAGTGCCCCCTGCTGGCTGCAGAGTTTCTGACTGCCACCACCAGAGTAACTTCCACCTAAGTTTAAAAGGACTCTTGACTGACTCCTGGAGAAGTGTTCAGGTACACTCGGAGCACCTTGCATTTGTAAGTCCATCTTCTTAGCTTTTGTTTGCAAGTCCTAAGTCTCCCATCACTGGTTCACTCCCTAAACGACTGCAATGGCAGGTGCGAGCCAGAAACTCAATCCTGGAGTCCCACACGGGTGGCAGGGGCCCAAGCAGCGCAGCCATCACCTGCTGCCCCCTAAGGGCTGTGCTAGCAGCAGCCGGAATGGGAACCAGAGCCAGAACTCACTGTTCCACCTGAAGGTTCATGAGATCCGCACAGCTCGAATAGGTCACATCTGAATCAAGGTCACACCACGCACAAACTGTGCAGTTTGAAAAACATCTGAAGAATGTAAAATGTCCCATCGTTGACTTTTTGGGGAGAGGAAAGCTTGTGATTCAATCTGCTGGTCACTCCCCCAGTAGCTCCAACAGAGCCAAGCCCGGCATTGGGACCGCTCAGGAGATGTCCCACATGGATGGCAGGGACTCAAGTCACCAGAGTCACCACCTGCCATCAGCCAGGGCAGCAGAAAGTGAACATCAACAGCCAGGGGAGGGAACTGAGCAACACGGACACAGCAGCCGTTCCCCCAGATTTCACACTGCAGCTAGGACATCGAGGATGACACACATGACTAATGGCAGAGCACAGTTCCAGATCTGGACTCTAACAGTAGGGCCTGGTGCAGTAGCCTAGCAGCTAAAGTCCTCGCCTTGAACACGCCAATTCTAAACTCGGAAGTCCCGCTTCCCATCCAGCTCCCTGCTTGTGGCTTGGGAAAGCAGTCAAGGACGGCCCAAGGCCTTGGGACCCTGCACCTGTGTGGGAAACCCAGAAAAGGCTCCTGGCTCCTGGTTTCAGACTGGCTCAGCTCCAACCATTGTGGCCACTTGGGGAGTGAACCATCAGATCTTCCTCTCTCTCTCGCCTCTCTGTATATCTGACTTTCCAATTTAAAAAAAAAATCTTCAAAAAACCAAAATATAGTCAGGCATCACAGATGATGGCAGAAACCCCAGACATCGCACACCAGAGAGCGGGAGGGAAGGCAGTCACGGAACACACACTGCAGGGAAGCATGGCAAAGAACGAGCCCTTTCCGGGACGTGACCAAGGGCAACGGCGACTTGTTCCCAGACACTCGTGCAAGCACACAGCATTCACGCGAGGATGAAGGCAGCCACCAGGGTCCCTGCCTTCCCCGCGTGTCCGGACCTCGCTCCCCGCCCCTCCCTGAGTCCTCCTAGTCCCCGGTCAGCCTCGAGGCTGCCTCTGCCAGGAAGCATTCCAGAGCCCTGCACCCAGAGCTGGACCTCGAGGAGTTGGACACATTTTGCTGATGGTGACCCCAACAGCCCTGGCTCCACAAGCACATCAAAGCCACCTGCGGCCACAGCCAGCTGGGTCACAACCTAGGCCCGCCCTCTCCATGCCAGCCACACACCACCTCCAGGCTGGCCTTGGGCTGTGCCAGTGCCTGGAGGCTTCCTCCCCAGCAATGGGATAGGGCCACCGGGAGGCCAGGGCCACCGGGAAGGCAGAGGCAGACACGGGGTATGAGGCCGGCCTTCTCCACCACTCCCTGCCCTTGGCACTCAGCTGCTCACTCAACCAATACTGGGCTAAGCGGGCTCCATGTGGGGTACAAAGCCACCACGGCAGCACCAGGAAATGCAGAGTGACACCCACATGCCATTGTGCCTTGAAGGGTGGGAGCAGATGCTCTGGGGGATTGGTGGGGACTGGGAAAGTGGGGGAGGAGCCAGAGGCCAGCAGCTTCAGGAGAGCAGGGGCCAAGAGGCGCGCAGGGCACAGGGTGGCCTTACCTGGGGGCAGGTGGCAGGGCTGTGTGTTGCAGGGCTCCATGTCCACTGGCCTTGGGCGCCGCAAGTTCCGGCAGTGGCTGGGAGGGCCCAGGGCACAAACCACCTGTCGCCTCCGAACCCCCGAGTTGCAGCTCTTGGAGCACTAGGGCCCAGGATGGGAGTCAGGGAAGGGAGACCCTGAAGTTGGCATGGGGAGGACCCCAAGGGAGAGGGCACGAGGAGGATACCCCATGGAGAAGGGAGGAACACGGGGCACCCAAGGGGGGCGTGGGGGCCACCAAGAGACCCACAGCATACCGCAAGGGCAGGGAGGGGGGTTGAGCAGATGCAGGGGGCACTCACCATCCCCCAGGCGCCGATGTGCCAGGCCTGTCCAGCAAGGAAGGGACAGTCATCACGCACACAAGGCTCACTGAGGGGCGGTCGGTCCTCGAGGGGGCACGCCGTGGCAGGCAGCAAAGCCCCCTGGTCACTTCGGCAGGTGACACTCCGCCTCCGCACGCCAGTGCCACAGGTCACAGAGCACTGCAAGGACCCACCCTGAGCTCAAGCTCCCCCATCCCTGCCCCCCGAGCTTACACAGCCTGGCCTCAGAGTGCCCAGTCCAGGTGTCTCCCATGCCCCCTCATTTGCAATCCTGGCATGTGCAGGCATGGAAGTGACAGCTTGCAGCCCCAGCCCCTCCCTACACCCAGGAACAGAGGCCCCAGCTGCTGCTTCACACCAGGACCAAGGACACACACACACGCATGTCCAGCCTCAGCCTGGATGCCCACACCATGGACCCAGCTCCCCACACCCAGTCTGGGTAGCCAGCAGAGCAGCACAGCTCACCTCGGCCCAGGGCCCAGCCTTCCAGGTGGCACAGCGCTGCAGGTTGCAGGCCTGAGAGGCGGGTGGCTTGCCAGGCAGGCCTGAGCATGCTGCATCCTCCGCGGCCTCCTGGCCACCGGCCCCATCCAAGGAGACACAGTAGACGGAGCGGGACTGGGAGCCGCCTCCGCAGGAGACGGAGCAGGGGGACCAGGGGCCTGTCTTCCAGCTGTAGGGGATGGGGGATTAGAGGCTCAAGGGAGGCAGCCCAGGATGTCCACCGGCACCACCCCCCCTCTGCCCCTCAGCCAAGCCACATGCAGCTGGGACCTGCAGGAATTCCTGGAGGGTCTCGTCTCCTGTCACCAGCTGGGGGTAGACTGGGAGGGCTGAGTGGGCAGCCCTGGGCACTGGGCCCTGCCAGGTCCAGCTGCTGCCCCAGCCTCAGCCAGCGAGCACTGGGCTGCTCAACCCAGCAGCTCCACACCCACAATCAGCTTCCTTCCCCCGCAGGTTCTGGGGCAGAGGCAAGAGCCTCACCGCTTGCTCCGGGGGCAGGGCTGCAGGTTGCAGGGGCGGCGGGCAGCAGGCCGGGGCAGGCGCTGGCACAGGTGGTCGGGGTAGGCCTCTGTGTCGGTGGTGCAGAACACCAGCCGGGTCTGATAACCTGTGTGGGGACACATTCCCTGTGCGACCCCTTCCACGTCCCACAGTTCATCCCAACTGTTTGCAGCAACCCCTGGGTTGGGCACCACCATCTGCGCCCCACATGCAGATGAGCAAACTGAGACCAAGAGTTTCAGCCATCCTCAGCTCCCCGTGGAGCCCCTCCTCTGGGAAGCCCTCTCCAGTTCTCTTCAGCTAGGCCAGGGCCCTTCCTGGGAGCCCCTGGGGCCCCTGGGTTGTTTCCAAGGTGATCCCTACTGCATGACATATCTCACCTGCCTGTCCACCCCAGCCCCATCCCGGACCAGGGCACTGCCTGGTACACGGGGCACGTCCCTCCCCGGGCTGGGGTGCCCTCACCTCTGCCACAATCGGTGCTGCAGTCACTCCACGAGCTGTGGCTCCAGCTGAAGCCGGGGCGGGGGGTCCCCAATGGCAGGAAGTACTCGAAATGCACTCCGGGGTTCAGCTCCTGGCTCAGGAGCTGCCGCAGGAGAGGAGTCTCCCTGATTCCACCTGCCGGGTGCCCCTCCCACCCTCCTTGGCCCTGTGGCTCCTCCTGCCAGCCTGGGGCCCCGACACCTCATTGACTCACCTCGATGACCAGGGGCTCAGAGGTGGGACCCCGGGCCCGCAGCCGCTCGGGAACCAGCTCCCCCTCAGCGCCGCGTTCATACTGCAGGACCGTGCTGGCTGCCGGCAGCGCCCCAGCCGCCTCAATTGTCCAGCGCCCGTTGAGGTAGTACTGCCCGCGAGCATTCCTCACGGCTGAGTGAAAACCAGGACGGCTAAGGTCAGCCAGGACAGCAAACATCAGCTGACCCCCGGCTGAGCACCCCCAACACGGCTCTCACCCAGGAAGTTCCTGCTGGCCGCAGCCTCCTGGATACGGATGCTGGTGGCCCCCGCGGGAATCACGAACATCTGGTTATAGCCTGATGGGCAGAGACAGGGTGCCGAGCTGTCCTCCCACAGGCACCCCACCCCCAGGAGGCATGGCAAGGGGGGAGAATGGGGACTGGGAAGAAGAGTTGGGAGGCTTAAAGAGGTGGGGATGGGGCAGCGGGTAGAGATGGGGACAGGGGAAAGGATGGTGGGGGGCAGAGAAGGACAAGGGCTTGTGGGCACTCAGGGCCTCCAGCCACTCTGTCAGACCCTCTGCTGCCAGGAGGGCCACCTGGCTTGGAGCCACAGCCAGAGGGGGAGGCAGGCCAGGCAGGCACACCAGAGAGCCCAGTAAGAGCCATCTGCGGCCCTCCCAGGTGCCCCACCTCTGCCGAGGTCATTGGCATCAAAGGTGCCTCGGACAGGGTAGCAAGTGGAGCCATCACCCCCACACTGCAGACACTCGTCCTCCTGCTTGGGCGAGTCCAGCTTGTGGTCACAGCCGACGACCTGCCAGGCAGAGGCAAGCATTGCTGACACTGGAGCCCCAAGCAGCCCCGGGGTGGGGGTAAGTCTCCCAGCAAGCTGGAGCGTGGGGTTGGGGGGCGGAGAGGGGAGCGACTCCTGCTGCTCAGCCATGCCTCCCACTCTGGCCATGCCACCCTGTTGTCCTCTGGGGCCACTTCTCTGCCACAGAGCTTACGGGGGTGGGCCACCACAGGGTGAACCCCACACCCAAACCAGCCATAGCTCGTGCCAACCCAGGCTGCAGGAACACCTAGGAACAAGGGCCCATGCCCTGGGAGCTGCTGAGTCCCAGCAGGGGGGTGATTTCTGCAGCTCCGTTCACCCAAGCCTCCTTCCTGGCACACTCCAGGGAGTCTACTCATGCTATGAGGCAGGGAGGCAGGGAGGCATGAGGCCGCCTGGAGAGGACGTGGCTCTGGGAGAGCCACCTGTGGCCCACCACCACCTGGCAGGGACACTCACCCGGCAGCTGCCGTCCACACACACGTCCCGGCCACCTGGCTCGCAGGGGGTCCCGTCCACCACAGCTTCCCTGTGCTTGTAGTAGAAGCTCTCTCCCTTGGGGATGCAGTGCAGTGCACACTTGTCTGGGGCTGGGGAAACGGAGAGGTTGGCCTTCGAGGACTGCCTTGCATGGAATGCCTGGGGTCTATCCCAGCAACCCTGACTTTAGGGATGGGGGAGAAGGCAGTACCCCCGCTAATCGGCTACTCTCCTGCGACTATCAGAATTCTGCTCACGTCCAGGCTGCCTGACCCCAACACCAAAGGGCAACATGGGAGTATCATCAGCCAGGGCAAAGTACAACAACCAGAGCTGGAACACTCAGCTCCCAGCAACCTAGTGAGAGAGGTGGGCTCAGCTGAACACCAAGGAAGGAAGGGCCCCTCCTGCCGTGCGATGGAGTGCCCTGTCAGCTGTGCCTTATTTGTTCCCAGTGGCTCTCTAAGTGTGCACAGCACATCCTTAAAAATCTGTCCCCAGTCGGGATCCAGGAGCACGGAGGGCCACTGGTGCAGCCTGCCACACGGATGGGGGAGGGTTTAGAAGCCAGCTCCCATGCCCCAGGCAGCTCCCACTTATCTAGCAGCAGTCCAGGTCTAGCTCAGGTCTCCCAGCTCCTGGCTCTCCACCCTGTAGTTTGCCCCCTACACAGCGGCTGAAATTTGTCCCTTACAACCGCAGGGGTACCAACCCTACCTCCCCAAGACCTAGGAGGAATGCCCCTCAAAGAAAGCAAGGGACATCAGAGCCGGCTCTCACAGGACAGCCTCACCAGGGAAAGCAGGCAATCCCCCTTAGGCCCGTGGGGTGGGAACCTGCGGTACACAGCCCAGTTCAACCTGCAAAGCACCTGGGACCCAGTAATAAAACCGCGAAGTCTACATGAGACCCCAAAAAGGGGGGGGGGGGTTGGGAGAGCCAATGCAAGGGGCACCTGCGGGGAGGAGGGCGTGGGTCCAGGGTGGGAGACAGGATGAGGGCTGGGACCAAGGGACGGAGACCGGAGGGGGTGGGCAGGGAACCAGAGGGCGCTCCAGGCGGGTGCAGGACCAGGGCCCAGCGCTCGGGCCGGGGCCGCCTGCGTGCTGCTCACCGCCATAGTAGGGCAGCCACTTGTAGCGCTTTCCCTGGAACTCTGCGCCGTCGAACTCGGCACACTGCTCGGCCCGGAAGTCCCGGGCGCCGTCGGGGCAGCTCTGTGGGGTCGGAACGAGGAAGGTGGTGCCCCGGCGCTCCTGGGCGCCCCCGAGGGCTGCGGGAGCAGCGCGGGGTTTAGGGGACGCGACAGGCAAGAGAACCCCTCCCCGCAGCCAAGTAGGGGACGAAATCTGGACTCCCTTAGCCCCCCCAGCGCTTTACCTCGGTGCGGCACGAGCGGTGGCTCCGGAAGGGGCCCACGCAGCTGGAGCCTCCATCCCTTCTGTGGGCGAGAAAACAGGAGCGCCAGCGACCCCGCGGCTGCTCCACCGCGGGCCAGGAGCCTCTCGCTGGGCATTGGCAGGAGCAGGACTCAACCTCACTGTCCCGGGTCGGGGGTGGGGTACCTACCTCGGGACCACCCTGCCTCTCACAGCCCATTTCCGGGAACCACCCTGGGATTGTGCCCTTGGAGATAAAATCCCAAGGAACCCATGTTCTGCTAGGAAAGAGCCAATAGCCGGAGGTAAGACCCCCTGCCACACGTGTCTCCTCTCTCGCTTCTCCACGAGATCTCGGCCACCGGAAACCCTCGTGTCCTGCCCTTCTGCCCCACCCCGTCTGCCTACCTATCAGGGCACAGGACACACAGGGGCTTAACCAATGCCCGCAGGTGGGGCGCATGTGCACCTGATGAAGAGAATGCAAAGAACCTGCAGGTGTTAGAAGCTGCGATTCCACCACGTCTTGCACCTGCCAGGTGCCCTATGTTAGGTGCGGCCTGGGGAGCACGGCAGCCAGAGACCTGCTGCAGCTTCTCTGAAAAGAGGGGGTGCTTGCTGGAATCAGCTGCAGGGACTTGGGAGGTGACTTTATGTCCTGTCCTCTGCTGATGTCGCCTGCCTCTGGCTGGGATGCTCTCCTCCTCAACCTCTTAAGGTGCCAGGCCCACAGAGTGGGTCTCCCCTACCTCTGAGAGTAGCAGGGGCGCTCCCGGAAGCTGATGCCCCCTCCACAGGTGCGGCTGCAGGGGCTCCACTGGCTCCAGGGACCCCAGGCGTCAGCCTGCCGCCTCACGTTGAGGACCTGCAGAAGACAACACGCTTAGCGCCTAGCGTGTGAGTGAGTGTGGGCCTGGACACCCACAGGGTGCGCTGAGACTGCCCCTTGCACCATACACACACACACACCCCGGAGGGAGGACAGGTGGGGCGGGGCCCTGGAGCCCAAGATCGCCCCTTCTCCAGCCCGACCTGGAGGGCCCAACACTACCGCCAGGCACCACCAGACATGTTCATTAACAGCTTCAACATGGGGACCCCACCTGGGAGGAAGCCTCAGCAATGACAGGGCGGGCGGGGAGCAGGGGGCCTGCTGGAGAGGAAAGGAAGGCAGGAGGCGGCAGGGGACTGCAAGAGTACGCAAGGGTCTGCCAGGACCTAACCTGGTTCAGCTGTGGGTTCCACGTGGCTCAAAGGAGCCGCCCCCAGTGGGCTTCTCCGGCTCTGAGCTGCCAGGCCACACAGGGAGATTTCCTCCCCTCTGGATGATACTCCCTGGCCGGCACTGGTATGGGTCATCCTTGTGAGACACTGGGAGACCGAGCTCACCCCTGCCACCAAGAAGAGTAACGGCCTTGTGAGCAGGGGGGAAGCTGGTGGCAGGGGTGGCCTGTGGGCAGTGCTTCGCCTTGGTGCACCTGTGTGGCACTCTCTTCCAAAAGTTTCTGTGGCTTTGGCCTATTCAATTAGGAACTTAATATCCAGGGGGAGGAGGGTGGGAGGAGGGTCTTTCAGTCAATATGTGGTAGGGATTCCCGTCCAAGAGCACCCCAATAACCACCCCTCCACAACACTGTAAGAGAATTCCAGAATTTCACTCTTAAGCTGTGTATCAGGCTAGCCAAGATAAAGGCTTCATTCCCCAGGCTTCCTGCAGGCCACTGTAGCTTCCCCTCAAAGACAAACAAAGCAATGTACAGCTCCCTGTCAAGCACCCCAAGAAAGTGCTGGCCAAGGACTGCCACTGTGGGGCAGCAAACAAAGGTGCTTGTAACCCTAACAACCCATCGGAGCACTGGTTCAAGTCCCAGCTGCTCCCTTCTGATCCAGCTCCCTGCTAATGCATCTGGGAAAGCAGTGGAAGATGGTCCAAGGCTTGGGCTCCTGCCACACATGAGAACTGAAGGGGGCCGTGGCTCCTGCCTTTGGCCTTGTCCAGCTCCGGCTGTTGCAGCCATTAGAGTAGTCACAAGCTCTTTATCTCTCTCGACTCTTTCAATTTTTTAAAAGATTTATTTGCTTTTCTTGAAAAATCAGATTTACAGAGGGAAGAGACAGATAGCAAGACTTTCCATCTGCTGGGTCACTCCCCAAATGGCTGCAACGGCCAGAGCTGAACCAATCCGAAGCCAGGAGCCAGGAGCTTCTTCCAGGTCTTCCATGAAGGTCAGGGTCCTAAGATTTTGGGCCATCCTCGACTGCTTTCCCAGGGCACAAGCAGGGAGCTGGATGGGAAGTGGAAGAGCCAGGGCATGAACTGGCACCCATATGGGATCCTGGGGTTTGCAAGGGGAAGATTAGCCCACTGAGCCATCATGCTGGGCCCTGCCTTTCAAGTTTTGAAGGAATGAAGGCGGGGGGCGGGGGGAGGGCAGGGGTAAGAGAGATGTAAGCAAGGATGGGAGGGAAGACTCCAGCGAGCAGCACATGGGCGCAGGGGCAGGCCTTCATCCCTCCCAACCTCCACCTTCTGTCTAAAAGGAGTTTGAGGGTACTAGACTTGACTTCACACACCTGCTGAGGGCATGCTGCATTCTGGGGCTCCCAGGAGCCCCCATCCAAATCAGAGCTGCCCGCTGAGCAGGGTGGGTCATGGGGTACACCTGCTGAATTCCACACAGAGCCCGCCAGGCCTTAGGGGCTGCTTTTTTGCTCCTCCAGATCACCTCTGCCCCCGTGCCCAAGGGGACCAAACTGGCCAATTCCCAGAGCCAGTGAGCCCGTCTCAGGGGGCAGTCCTGATTGGCTCCAGCAGGTGGCAGGTATTTGGGGTTATTTAACTTGCACTTAGCAGCTCCCTGCACTGCGGCAGGGTGGGGTTTGGGGAGTGTTTCTCTGAAGCACTATATGGGACTGTATGGAGGTATGGAGGACAGTAGTGGGGGACGGGGCGGGGGGGGGAGTGTCGCCATCTTGGCCCAGCATCCTGCAGCAGTTGCAGGGAGTCGGGGGCCGGGCATCTCAGCCGACCCCACCTCTCTGGGCACAAGGTCCCTCTCCTGAGCGCACCGCTGTTCCCCCACCCCACCCACGTTCTCCATGGCATGCCCCGTGGTTCCGGGCCCACAAGGCCTCACTCACCGAAGATCCGGGCGCGGGGGCCAGCAGCAGCGGCACCAGCAAGAGCAGTCGCATCTCTGCCTGTGGGAGAGGCGGAGGGTTAGAGAGTGCTGGGCAGGGATGCCCGCCAGGAGGCCAGCGCAGACGCCAGCAGGGAGCACCGAGGTGTGCGTCTCCACGCACGTGGGAGAGACCGCGTCCATGGATGTTGGCTCAGGTTCAAGAACAGCTGGCTTCGGGGCAGTTAAAGCAGCTGCTGACTTGTTGAAAAGAGTTCAGAATCAAAGGGACGGAACTTAGTAAGAAGTTCATCAGTTCGTCCCATCAGCTGCTTGGCAAAGACTATTCAAAGAATCACTTGGAGTTGCTACCGAGATGTATTGATTCGTTTTGAAAAAGTCTCTGAAGACACTTTTGAAACAGCTGCTTCAAGACACAAGTATGGACTATCTCCTAGTTTAAACAGGGCCTTGTAAGCACGCCCTGCCATTCGGCCAGCTGGCCCTGTGAGTGGGGTGTGCGTGTGTAACACGCCTACGTGCAATATGGTGTGCATGTCCCACGTGCAGCGTGTCTCCTGAGCAGCGGGGGTGTATGGGTCACTGTGCGCACCTGCCTGGCAGGTCGTGTGCTCAGGTGTCACACCATTGTGTTCCGACATAAGCAATGCGGCACAAATCATCGCACAGGCACCGACTTGTGTGTTCCAACTCCACAACCTAATTCTACCCGTCTTTTTTGCAAAGTTCATGATGATTTCAATTTATGGGGGACAACGGAAGGCCAGTCTAGCAACATCTCTCCTGGCACAGCACACTTTGCTTGCGCTTGCTCCTTCAGCACTTAGTGACTCACTCGTTATGGTCCTAGTCCAATCAGAGGCTCCGGGAGTGAACAGGGAGAGGTGGATTGCGGCCTGCCGCTGCTCCCCGCCTCTGCCCGGCGAGGGGATGGCGCTAACGAACAGGACGTACAATGGGTACAATGGGGAGGCTCACGTGGCTACAGGGTGAGCCTAGAGGGGCTGTGGGAGGACAGGGGGACATTGCCCTGCACCTGTACCCCAAGTCCCGAAGGCTGAAGTTCCGTTTCTTCAGCGCTTCTGGTGGCAAACAGCCCTGGTCTTGGGGCTCTGACCAACGCTAAACTGGACAGCGCAGGCTGGACTCCACGCACAGTGCTCCCGCTGGTGGGCAGGCAGGTCTGCGGACTCCCGAGCACGAAGGAGGGGAGTTGAGGCAGGAATGGGCCCGCACCTCCCCGCAGCAGCAGACATTCGATCCCCAGCCCGCGCCACTCGCCTTGCATCCACACCCCGCAGCCTGGAAGGCGGAGAGGGGCTTGTTCCCGGGGAGCGCCCAGCAGGTGCTGCCCCCGCCCAGGGCCTCGCCTCTGCACCGCTGGGGTCCCTGCGCTTCCTCCCCAGTGACACTCCCCGCCTTGCCTGAGAGCTCGCCTCGGCCCGGACCTGCGCTCACCTCGGCGAGGTCTCCTCTTCGCGTCTTCACTTTCTCCTATGCCACAGGCCGCGAGCCGCGAGGAGGCCGAGTCCTGCAGGTCCCGGAGTGCGCCCGCTGTGGCCCTGGCGCTCCGCCTGCCTACGGGTCCGCCGCGCGCCGGGAACGCAGCACTGCCAGGGCCGCTCCGTCGGTGCGGGCCGCAGATCAAGCCCGGGAGGCCCGGCTGGCAGCGCGGAACGCCCGGGAGGCTGGACTTTTCCCCTTGGCCGCCTCCTCCCCGCCCCGTCTCCTCCCACCCAGCCCTGCCAGAGCTCAGCCCCAATCCCCAGGGGAGACAGGGCCCCTTGGAGAGGCCCCTGTGGTGCCCAGAGCGGGCCAAGCCCTCCATCCTCTTGGTTGCACGCCCTGGCACCTGGGTTTGTGCCATCTCCGTTCCAATTTCGGCTCCTTTACCCAAGTCCTGTGGTTCTGTGGGTTACCCATCTTCTAGCCCGCTCCTCTCCACACCGGCACCACATGCAACCCACCTCTGCATCCCACCAGTTCTAGGCTTCAGCCACCGTTTTACCTGCCCGTCAACTTGCCCCCTCTACTGCCTAGAGACTCCAGAGAGCGCTGGGGCTGCAGGACAAACTGGCCGGGTTGGGGATCAAATGCTGCCTAGAAATCCCTCCCCCTTGGAGTTTCTTGCTGCCTCCCAGTCCTCGCTAACTCGCAAACTCCTACTCATCCCTCAAAACCCTGGTCAAACTTCCCCTCTTTTTGAAACTTTCAGCAACATCCCCTGCTCCTCTACGCTCTTGTGCCTGGCACAGTGGGAGCCTGAGACATCTAATCCAGCAGCTACAGGCATCCCTGCCACTACCCCTTGCTAGGTACCGGCCAGGCCACTCCCGTGGTCATCTAGGTGGGAGCTCACTAACCTGGAAAAATGCAGTTTCCTCTCCTGGTTCCTTCCCCACCCCCACCCAAGGCACTCTGCCTGCACTGATTTTTGGAAACTGCAATTCAACCATCCCTAGGTAAGTGGCACTGGCAGGCTGGAGGTCACAGAGGCTGGTCCCCTTCCCCACTCCTGCCCCATCACCCCTGGAGTTTCTTGCATCCTGGTGTCGCCCCTGGCCAGAGAGAAATCACTGGTAAGAAGCCCAGCCCCCATTTCAGATCTTCACACCCCCGCCCCCGCATGCTTTCCCTGCCCCCCACCATAGCCCCACTGACCCACAGCCAAGATGCTGATTAAGACAAACTTGGTTAATCTGGCTCGCTTCTTACCTATCTGAATGGAGAGCTGGGTTGGAGGGGGTGGGTGCTCGCTCGTTCACAAGCCCCAGTCCCTTCCCTGCCCCCTCGTGGCTGGGACTTTGTGAACTCGGTCAAAGGTTCCCACTGCAGGGGCTCAAGGAGCTGTGCAGGGAGAGTCCTGGCCCCTCTGCTGGCCTGGGAAAGGGTAGTGGGGCCTAACAGATTCCTGCACTCCATTAGGAATACAAAGCTGAAGAAGTCAGAGATGGTGAGAGAACAATATCAAAGTTAGGGACACTGGCCAGGCTGCAGCTGGCAGGACAACTGGCTGGCATTTTAATAAATCTTAACAAAGAGGCATACTTGTTACTGCAGTATCTTCACGGTTACACAGTTTTCTGCCCATGACCCACTGGGTACTCTCAGTTTATTTGCACTTCCGGGCTGAGCTGGAGAGCCTGTGCGGCCCTTGGCTTTGGGACTTGCCCAGTGCCCTGTGGTGACCTTCCACAACGTCCCCTCCTGACGTTTCAGCTTGCTTACTGGAGGGTGGCTGAGCCCCTTACAGACCCAAGCCTGCTAGCCTCTCTCCCTTGGCTTGAAGTGTCCTTGCCTTGCCTTTTAGAGAACATACCAGTTGCTGAAATTAACTCACAGAATGAGGGAGAGGCAGACAGCACTACCTGCCTGTAGCCCCCAGAGTGACCGAAGCCCCACTTGGCCATCCAGACAGTTCCCTGAAGAATAGGATGTAACACTGACCAATCATAAGGCAGCCCAGGAGCCCTAGATCAACCTGGGACCTAGACACGCTCTGGACACACCCACCTCTCCTTGCAGGCATCCCAGGGCTGAAACCACAGCTGCCTGGCTCCTGGTTGCTGTGCAGTCTGCCTTTGTGCACTGGAGGCCAGCGGACCCTGCTGTGGAGGTTCTGTGATGACACCTCCAGCCAATGTGGGCACACATTCATACAGAGCTCCCACTGGTGACCCTGCCCTGTACTGCACCTCCATTTCCAGCCTCTGGTCTCCAGAGCTCTACATTGGAGCAGTCTGGGACAAGGCTAAGAAGTAAGTGGCCAGATCTCTGTGTGTAGCTGAGTTGGGATGGAAGGCAGGGGAGGAGGGTAAAATCCCCAGTACCTTGGGGTCTCAGGAGGTACCTCCTCCAAGAAGCCTTCCATACACTGCCTCAGCACTTGCCTGGTGCCAGAGTTGGCCCAGGCCTTTTGAGTACCTGCAGAGATATGTTGGTCCCTCTGAATTAGGAGCTATGCGAGGACAGAGACAGGTCTAGGTTGTCACAGTACCCTGTCCTAGAGTTTGTGGTAGAACTTAGGGTTCGCCACTAGGCATTGCTGGGGAAGGGTGAGGGCAAGGGACAGAGTAAGGCTGTAACAGTTAAGCCACTGCCTGTGACATCAGCATGACAGGCAGAAGTGCCAGCTTGAGTCCTGGCTGCTCCACTTTCCGTCCAGCTTCCTGCCAGTGTATCTGGGAAGCTGCAGCCACCACATAATCATCATCTGGTCCCTGACTCATTCAGGTCCTTCTCAAAGACCATGAGGGGTTTTTGTTGTTGCTTTGTTTTCCTCAAGAATGAATCAAGTGGTTATGCTTTGAGAACAAGACACTGGTGTTGGTTTTGTATAGCACAGTGACTCAATTGGCTAATCCTCTGCCTGCAAATGCTGGTCTCATATGGGCACCAGTTCTAGTCCCAGCTGCTCCATTTCTCATCCAGCTCCCTGCTTGTGGCCTGGGAAAGCAGTGGAGGACAGCCCAAACCCTTGGGACTCTGTACCCACGTGGGAGATCCGGAAGAAGCTCCTGGCTCCTGGCTTTAGATTGGCTCAGCTTGGGCCATTGTGGCCATTTGGGGAATGAACCAGTGGATGGAAAATTTCTGTCTGTGTGTCTCTCCTTCTTTCTAAATTTGCCTTTCCAATTAAGAAAAAAAAAAATCTAAAGAAAATATTGAATGGGGCTCAGTGCAATAGCCTTGTGGCTAAAGTCCTTGACTTGTGTGTGCCATGATCCCATACAGGTGCCAATTCTAATCTCGGAAGGCCACGCTTTCCATCCAGCTCCCTGCTTGTGGAAAGTAGTTGAGGATGGCCCAAAGCCTTGGGACCCTGCACCCACATAGGAGATCTTGAAGAGGCTCCTAGCTCCTGGCTTTGGATTGGCTGAGCTCTGGCCGTTGAAGCTGCTTGGGGAGTGAATCAATGGATGGAAGATCTTCTCTGTCTCTGTTCCTCTCCGTATATCTGACTTTCCAATAAAAACTTTCTAAATTAAAAAAAAAAAAAAAGATGGATGATTCCACCTGCGTGAGCTTCTTCCAGCAGGCAGATTGTGGAGTTTG